GAACCCGCTGTGCTGTACAACCTCAAAGAGCGTTACGCAGCCTGGATGATCTACGTAAGTGCCAGCCGCAGTCTTCCTTTGGGTAGCCAGGAGGAACTGCTCTTCCAGGCTAAGTGGAAGCCAACGTGCTGTCTCCCTTCCTCGCAGACCTACTCGGGTCTCTTCTGTGTCACTGTCAACCCCTACAAGTGGCTGCCGGTGTACAACCCGGAGGTGGTGTTGGCCTACCGAGGCAAGAAGCGCCAGGAGGCCCCTCCACACATCTTCTCCATCTCTGACAACGCCTATCAGTTTATGCTGACTGGTGAGACAATGGCAGCATCTTCATGGTGATATCTATTTTTTTAAAAAAAGACATTTGTGTGTGTAGAGATATAAACCTCAGCATGAGCCTTTAATTAACTTGATATAACAGTTTCTGATATTATGCATGAGACACTGTTCTATTCTAACGATTTTTAAAACTCTAACTGATATCATGCAGACAAGAGCATTGAAAAAGCTAGAGTGAAGAATAACTAATAAGATTAATTAAGTCAGGTGAAACAAAAATTCTCCTTTACCTCTTATCGAGACCTGATATACTCAAAATATGTCAGTAAGTATTGCTAGAGCTCTGAACAGTTTAATGAATCTCACCCAAAACTGTACTGTGGGTTAATGTCTGTTTTGGCTTTCTGAAGACATTGTTTGAAAAAGTGAATGATCTGATTTCAAGTGTTATTCTGATATTTACAACTCCTTGGGAAAGAACATAAACCAGGATCCGAGCGAAGTTGCACCCTCTGGAAAAAATGATAAAAGCCTTCATTTAAAATCAGCTGTTAGTTAATAGTTCTGTATTATGGATTTACTTCTTAGGCATGAAAGTTACTTGAGCATAAAATACTAGAATACTGTGCACCAAAACTGCAATATGCAGAAGGGAATCAATGATTTGATGGTCATACATCTACAGTTTCATGATTCCACAATGACATTGCTGAACATCACAGAATAATATTGACTGTTCAAAAAGGTCCCTACGTGTTGAGTAAAAATTGAACGATAATTTGAATGGGGTTTTTTTTCTCCTTTTCCACTTCCACTTTTAACGCTGGAGCGGTTTCATGAATAACAAGTAGCTTAGCATTTTTTTTTTTCACATTTGCCGTCTTCTTTATTCGTTCTCTTAGTTAGTGGCTTTAAACACAGACTTGTATAGACAGAAATAAACAAAAAATGAGCAGCAATAATTTGAAATGAAAATAAAAAAAACCCCACATTCCTTCTCACCTCAGAAAGAATTTGTTCCTTTGAATTCCCTGGTGAAAACCAAAAATAAGAAAAGCAGGAAAAAAAAGATTTTGTTTAAACATTTCCAACATTGATAAACCTCTAATCCTCCAGACTTCTTGAAGTCACTGAAAAGTAAACAGGCATTCTTGCATCACTATTCATTTCATACAGAGATTGACATGAGAAATAGACTAAATTAAGAAGAGATGTCCTGTTTCAATAACCAAAAATTAAGTTTAAATAAATACCTCAGGGGTGAAAAAACACTGAAGAAATCCAAACTTGGATAACTCCAGCTTCTCCATAAAATACACAGGGTCTCTAAAAGCACAGTTTGTATTTACTACACACATTGTGTTCTATATTACTCAAGAATGACACTAACTGCATCTTTATCTGTGTCTCTTTCCCAGATCGCGAGAACCAGTCAATCCTGATCACGTATGTACACTCCCTGCTCAGGTCCCTGCAGGGCTGCTGGGTACCAGGGGATGTCCTGCCTGACCACATTCTCTCTGCTTCTCTCTTTGGTTTGACAGCGGAGAATCCGGAGCAGGGAAGACTGTGAACACAAAGCGTGTCATCCAGTACTTTGCAACAATTGCAGCGAGCGGGGAGAAGAAGAAGGAGGAACAGCCGACAGGCAAAATGCAGGTGAGTCAGGAAAAACAGACTGAACACATGATATGTAATTGCCATACCAGTTAAACACTATAACTGAGCAATTATCATCCGGTCGGGAACGCAAGAGCATGAAATCAATAATTACTGGAAAGTAGCTAGAAGCAATGCTTTCCTCTGTTCCTGACATGATTTTTGGAAAGGATAACTAGCAATAATTATCACCCTCTAGGGAACGCTTGAGGATCAAATCATCAGCGCCAACCCACTGCTGGAGGCCTTTGGAAACGCCAAGACCGTGAGGAATGACAACTCCTCACGCTTTGTAAGTTGTTGCTTTGGACAAAATCTCTCCCTTTCATTACAAGAGAATTGATGGCCCTAGCAGTATTCCACGTAAAGTAGATGTCAAAAGAACCCATCCAGGCTGCAGTGTTACTTCTTCTCCTTCACAGGGCAAATTCATCAGAATCCACTTTGGAGCCACAGGCAAACTGGCTTCTGCTGACATTGAAACTTGTAAGAGACTCTCCTGGCCTGATCCCATTCCTTCCCAGATTCCCACCTCCATGTGCCTTCCTGTGCCTGACTATTTCTCCGTTCCTTGGCAGATCTGCTGGAGAAGTCCAGAGTCACTTTCCAGCTCAAGGCAGAAAGAAGCTACCACATATTTTATCAGATCATGTCCAATAAGAAGCCAGAGCTAATTGGTAGGAAGCAGAATTATGTCTTTTTGATGATGATTGCTGAGCAACTGTTCCCCCTACTACCCGGATGTCAAAACTAATTGCCAACCGTGCCTTGCCTCTTCCTGCTTTCAGACATGCTCCTCATTACGACCAACCCTTTTGATTTCCACTATGTGAGTCAAGGTGAGGTCACTGTTCCCAGTATTGATGACCAGGAGGAGCTCATGGCTACAGATGTAAGTACTGTAAAGAAAATATTTTTGGTGATACTGCTAAGGTTGTTAGGCAATGTTTTCACTTCATTTCTTTGGACTGCAGAGTGCCATTGACATCCTGGGCTTCACTGCTGATGAGAAGACGGCCATCTACAAGCTGACAGGGGCTGTCATGCACTATGGGAACCTGAAGTTCAAGCAGAAACAGCGAGAGGAGCAGGCAGAGCCGGATGGCACAGAAGGTATCAGTAAATCCAGCAGACAACTTGTTCAAAGAACTTCTCTGTTTGCACAGATGATAAGTTCGACTCTGAAGACAGGCATTTGTTGGCCTGACTTGCCATGTAAAACATTGTGGAAAAGCATTTTTGTTCATTGTCTATCTAACTGCAGACGGGCTTCCCTGCCCATGGGAAATACCAGTATTTTCTCCATTGGACACTGCCCATACACACAGAAGCTGAAAGGGGGACCTTCAAATTCAACATAGGATATCTCTATGTCACTTCATTTAGAAGAACGTCATTATTAGCTTCCAGAAACTACATTCCTTTGCAGACCTCTGTTTGAGAACATCAGTTTTCCAGATTTGGAACATGGCAGCAGAGTTGGTCACACTGACCAAATTCTAGCCGTTGTCCAAAGATGCATGCTTCCCTCCCCTTTAGTGGCTGACAAGGCTGCCTACCTGATGGGCCTGAACTCAGCTGATTTGCTCAAAGCCCTGTGTTATCCCCGCGTCAAAGTTGGGAATGAATTTGTGACCAAAGGTCAAACTGTGGAACAGGTAAAGACCAGAGGACTTGAAAATGGCTTGAAAGGGTACTTGAGGATTCTTCTTTGACCCTAGGATGTAATTCCGGTCCTTTTTTCTCTGCTTTAGGTGAACAATGCAGTTGGTGCCCTGGCTAAAGCTGTCTATGAGAAGATGTTTTTGTGGATGGTTATTCGCATCAACCAACAGCTGGATACCAAGCAGCCCAGACAGTACTTCATTGGAGTCCTGGACATTGCTGGTTTTGAGATCTTTGATGTAAGGACAAGGATTTGTCACCGTAGCCAAGGGAGTTTCCCCTCCTCAGCTGCAGTTTTCTAGAAAGCCCTCCCTCTTCTCTGTCACAGCAGCACCCTCAAACGACTTCACTAACAAACGCTTTGATTCTAATGTTGTGAACAGGTAAAAGAAAGCTCTGCTTTCTGAGAAAGTGGTCTCAGAGGCCCTTGAGCTTGCAAAGGTCCTAGGCTTTTCAAACAGAGACAGCTCTAGGAGTGAGGCTCACAGAGATGTGGGTCAAAGTTGCGGACGCTCTTGGAAAAGCCAAGGAAATGATAGTGCTATGGGAAAGTTCACAGCATGTTTCCTGCGTTGTGAACACGGTGATGGTGTTAGGACTTCTGTGTCAGAGCAAAGAAACCCCCGGACTGGTAATCTGAGGGCAGAGAAATTCTTGGGAGGTTTCCACTCTCTGAGAATTCAGAGGGTTGAGACACCTACACAATGCTGCAGCTAATGTTACCAAAGAATTTGCTTTTGAGTAGCACAGTAAAAAAGAAATGTGGCTTTGAGCTTGATTTCAAAAGTAAGAACAATAAATTCCTTCACGGACAGTAAGTTTTACAACAGAAATTCTGCTAAGAAAACACACGCTGTTACAGTATAGTTAGGAGTGGTGTTCCATCTGGGGAACTTCAAACAGCATTAGGAGAAGGCTAGCAAAACATGGTGGTGTTTGTCACACATTGAGAACCTGTGCACCATTCTTTGCTTTGGGCAGTTCAACAGCTTTGAGCAGCTGTGCATCAACTTCACCAACGAGAAACTGCAACAGTTCTTCAACCACCACATGTTCGTGCTGGAGCAGGAGGAGTACAAGAAGGAAGGAATTGAATGGGAGTTCATTGACTTTGGGATGGACCTGGCTGCCTGCATTGAGCTCATTGAGAAGGTACCTTTTCCATTCAAGCGTACAATGTATTTTGGGATTCTGTGATGTTTCTGAGCCGGATTCTTCTCAGAAAGAACTTACGGCCAGATGTTCAGTGTCAGTTAAACCAAACATTTTGCACTGAGATCTGTTTTAGTCTGGGGGAGAGAAATTAGGAAAAGTAAATCTGTGTGTCATCAGTCCTGCATTACCTGGTCTTCGAGCATGGAAAAGGTAGCCTGGACTCCCACCAACAGACTTCTTTAAAACAAACCAGAGTCAGTCTCTTTTCCTTTTTCCTCTGAAGACTCAGATCAGAACTCCACACACAGATCTGGGAAATAAATATCATCTCACCTGATTTCCCAAAACAGCTGGGCCTCTTGTAGCTATTTTCGCAATTATTTTTCTGTTTACCACTTCCCCCTCCAATTCTACTCCCAATTCTAACCTGAACCAGACAGACGTTCTTGCTAGTTGCATTAAGACAGGCTGCAGGAAGGTAAGGGAAGGCAGAAATAAGCTCCTTGGTCGAGAATACCTCCTGACAAACTCAGGCCCTTGTCCAGGCTTAGATGCTACCAGCAACACACTCGCACCTTTGATGGTCCTAGCACATGTTTCACATCATTATTTTTGTCTGTCACTTCTTGTGGTACGTTCCAGCCCATGGGCATCTTCTCCATCCTGGAAGAGGAGTGCATGTTCCCCAAGGCAACTGACACCTCTTTCAAGAACAAGCTCTATGACCAGCATCTGGGCAAGTCCAACAACTTCCAGAAGCCCAAGCCTGCCAAAGGCAAGGCTGAGGCCCACTTCTCCCTGGTGCACTATGCTGGCACAGTGGACTACAACATCTCTGGCTGGCTTGAGAAGAACAAAGACCCCCTGAATGAAACTGTCATTGGGTTGTATCAGAAATCATCTGTGAAGACACTGGCCTTACTCTTTGCTGCATATGGTGGGGAAGCAGGTAAATCCATGTTCGGTGTGTTCATACTGTTCAAAGGGGAATCTCAAAGACAATGTTAAAGGCATCTGCTCGTTTAAATCAACTTTGCAGAGGCTGGTGGTGGTGGCAAGAAGGGTGGCAAGAAGAAGGGGTCTTCTTTCCAGACTGTCTCAGCTCTTTTCCGGGTAAGTACAGAAATTATTATCTCTTTGAAGATGGAAAATAATTTCAATTCCAACCTGAAAGCTCTGTTTCGGTTTTGGTCATAGCTCTTGTCATCCTTGAAAATCCTTCCCTTGCCATTATTGGAAATAAAGTAATTATCTCCTCAGAACACCACCAATTCTCTACCTCAGTGCATGCATGATCTTCTTTGTATTTCAAGAGACAGAATGATATTTTCAGCCTCCGGGAACTCCTAGGCAATTGTCTTAGACTTTTTTTTCCAACTAACTGTTGATGTTGCATCCTTATATTTTGGCTGATTTCTTCCACTTGCCTTAGTTTTGTTATTACCTTCTCTGAATATTCTACAAAATTTTCCAAAGAGTGAAGTTCACCTACTTAGGCTGAGAGTGACTAACATATAAGTTGAAATTCCTTAAAATATTGTGTGGGGACTTCAGAGATATTTCTCTTTACTGTTTTACATATCTATGAAGCTTTTTCAGCATTGACACATTGTAGAATTTGAAAACAATAGCTTGAACATCAAAAGCAAAAAAAATTGCCTCAAGATTATAGTAATGGAAGGCAATATTTTCATTTCAATGGGGAAAGAGAGTTAATGTTAAATTACGTCAAGTTAATAAGTTTTGTCAGTTTTCGGTTAAGTTTTCAAGGTTCCATTTGGCCAAGGTGAAGATATTTAGGGAGACTTAATGACTTCTAAAAAAATCAATTAATATGGGCTGTACAAATATTTTATCCATTTAAAAAGAACTTATTTAGCTGCCAAATCAGACGCTAGTCACGCTTAGCCAAGAGTACATGTTATCCACTTAAAATGCCCAACTATAAGGAGATAAAGTAATACTAACAAATATTCTACAAAAGAATTTCAGAACCAAAAATCTGGGATCCTTCAGTTTTCACGTTTTGCTTTCAGAGTTCTGCAAGATGTTTTAGAGAAGATAGGTCTGCATCCAAAACACTCTGTTTCATACATGCACTATTAATATTTCAGTGCTTATACTTAATAACATAAACTTCATTTCATGATTTCATAGGAGAATTTAAACAAGTTGATGGCTAACCTAAGAAGTACTCATCCCCATTTTGTACGATGCATCATCCCAAATGAAACAAAAACACCTGGTAAGGGGATTACATAGAAGTAAAACCTGAGCAGCAGAAGCTCTTCTCCTGGATGTCAAACAATGGGGCAGTCAATAATGGTGATGTTTGTTAGGTGCCATGGAGCATGAGCTGGTGCTGCATCAGCTGCGATGTAATGGTGTGCTGGAAGGGATCAGAATTTGCAGGAAAGGATTCCCCAGCAGAGTCCTGTATGCTGACTTCAAACAAAGGTAAGAGCACTGCACCTTTCTGCCCATTCAGACCAAGATGAAGAGCCTGAATATCATAATATACTTGAAACTTTATACTTTAAATTAGTACTGAGCAGTAATACAGAAATGTTTTACCATCAGTTCATGATGATATGACACTGCTGAGATCAGGATTCTCTTGCACTTAGAGTTAATAGAAAAAGCACTCTCCATATCCTGTTCTGAAATGCTGAACTGTCTCCAGGCATCAGACAGGATTAATGAGACAGTCTGAAAAGGCTGTGGGGTTCAATCACAGTGGTGGTTTTGGTGATGGGATTACTTCATGTTCTATTTTCCTCTGCAGATACAGAGTGCTTAATGCAAGTGCTATCCCCGAAGGACAGTTCATGGACAGCAAGAAGGCTTCTGAAAAGCTCCTTGGGTCCATTGATGTGGACCACACCCAATACAGATTTGGTCACACAAAGGTAGAATCAAGACCTGTGTTAAATGTCTGTGAGTGATAAGGGTGGGCTGCTCTGTCAGAGACAGGGAGCACAGAACAATAACAGAGACAGTAGGGTAGGAGCCTCAATCAGCAAGTGCACAGCCCCATAGTACCCAAGAAAAGCAATTGTGAAAGACCCTGAAATGCTAGTCAGGTTCAGACAAGAGTCCAGATCATCTGACAGGCTTGTTACAATAGTGAAGGTCTGAGGTGAAGCTGTAAAGCCTTGGTTTTGGAGATTGGTCAGGGTCAGATATAGGTAGGCTAAGATGGCCCAGGCAGTATTCCTTAATTCCTGGACACATCACAGATATGAGATTGGTTTAACATCAAGCCAGGAACTAAGTCCACAGGACACGCTTGATCTCACTGGGGTTCATGACCAGGCATAGGTATTTCTGAGGCTGTGGCTGAACTGGAAACAATAACTCATATCACATAGCTCAGACAGAAACTGAAGGCTTAGGGCTGAGCTTATAGGCAGCGTGTAGGTCCATGGGCAGAGGGCTGGGGAGGGGGCTGAAAGTGAGGCAGGTCATGGCCATTAAGATCTACTTCAGGTTTCTGAAAGACTCTGTGCCTCTATTCCATACTACCTGACAATTACATGCCACAAAATTTCCTTTTTCAAGGTGTTCTTCAAAGCTGGACTGCTGGGACTCCTGGAGGAGATGAGAGATGACAAGTTGGCAGAAATTATCACTCGCACACAAGCCAGGTGCAGAGGCTTCCTGATGAGAGTGGAGTATCGGAGAATGGTGGAAAGAAGGTAGACATTTCTCATATCTAGTTTGTTCTCATGGTACTGGATGAATAAAGTTTAAATTCATCACACCGAAGCTATGAAAAAGCCATGTGAATTTCATTTCAGGGAATCCATCTTCTGTATTCAATACAATGTTCGTGCATTCATGAATGTCAAGCACTGGCCCTGGATGAAGCTGTTCTTCAAGATCAAGCCCTTGCTGAAGAGTGCAGAATCTGAGAAGGAGATGGCCAACATGAAGGA